ATAAATCAAGACAGTGTAAAGTATTGATAGTGGCACATAAATTGAGAAAAATTTAGAGTCATGAATGTTTATAGGTTAGTCAACCAAAAGAAGTAGGAAAAGGCAATAAAAGTTAGAAACCGATGAAACAGAAAATAAAGATACCACAGATATACTAAAAAATTAATAGTTTTCTTAAAAAGTAGAAAAACAGGCCAAGCGTGGTGGCTCACACTTGTAATCCCAGTGCTTTGGGAGGCTGAGGAGAGCAGATCACCTGTGGTCAGGAGTTTGAGACCAGCCTGGTCTCAAACTGTGAAGACACCCTGTCTCTACTGAAAATACAAAATTAGCCGGGTGGGGTGGCTCATTCCTGTAATCCCAGCTACTCAGGAGGCTGAGGCAGGAGAATCGCTTGAACCTGGGACGCAGAGGTTGTGGTGAGATGAGTTCGCACCACTGTACTCCAGCCTGGGCAACAATAGCAAAACTCCGTCTCAACAACAACAAGAAAAAGTAAAAAAAAGACAAAAACAAACACACACATACCCCTCTCGTAAATGAAAAATATTAGCAACACGAGGGGACATCATTAGAAGAGAAGAGATTTAACATATTATTGGAGAATCCCATAAATGACTTGAAGACAGTAAGTCAGAAACCTTGGACCAAACAAATTCTTAGAAAAATATTATGATAGAATGCTGTAGAAGAAATAGCAAGCTTGTGTAGCCTAATAACCATAGAAATAAAATTAGTGTTAAAATTATCACAAAAAATATACCATCCCAAATGATTTTGTCAGCAAATTCTATGTAACTTCGAAGGAAAGTATTCCCATTATTTTGCATTTTCCAGAATATGGTAAAAAAATAGAAATACCCTAATCCCACAAGACCAGGAGAAGCTTGAAGCCAATCTCAGCTGTTATTAATTATTGTGAATAAGAATGGAAATTAGCTGGTTATGGGATTGACACATAAAATTCTATTTCTTTACATGAACAAATGAGAAACAAAAGTTGCAAAAATATGTATGCCATTTACAATGACAATAAAATTACAAGAAAACTCTAACAAAATTTGTGCAAAACAAGACTGGAGAAAACCAGCTAATTTTGTTGAAAGCTTTAAAAAATGATGTAACTAAAAATAGTTATCATGTTCATGAATTTAAGGCTCATACTATAAATATTTCTTACTCAAACATATTTATAGATTCAATGACTTGTCAATAAAATTCCAAAAAGACTTTGTAAGTTGATTCTCATTCTTATACGGAATACACTAGACCAAAATTTGCCAAAAACATTCCAAGAACACAAGGTGTTTATGTGCACGAGTTGCTCTGCCAGGTGTCAAAACCGATTATTAAGCAAAGGGTAGTGTGTGATTGGCCAAAGGATAAAGAAATTGATCAGTGGAACAAAACATAAGTCTTAAAAACAGATCCATCCTTGAAATCTGGCATCCATTGTCATTGCAAGTGTGCAGTAAAATGGGTCATTTAATTCAAAGTTATGTTCTGTGGCATTTTCTGTCAGTAAATTGAGCATTCTGTCATTCATTTGAGGTGGTGCTTGCAGGGGAACAGGGTGCAGTAAGGCAGACTCATATCCTGAGTGTTAGTTCCGGCATGAATGAATCGCTGCCCCTACGGGATCGAAGACACTGGATGTATTAGATTTTCCATGAGGTGACTGACTGTCCTCTTTGCATAATGTTATGTATTGAGACCTCAAGTTTGGGCTCTGCTACTGACAGGGCTGAACATTCAGGAGCAGGAATGGGTAGCTGAGTCTTGGCATGAAGAAACCGAGGGTACCTGGCTTATTCATAACCACCACTTCTCTCATCATAACTACTCCATTTATGGGGCCACTGTGGAAGACAGGATCGAGTCTGCCTGCTATTTGCCCCTAAATGCATCCTGTCTACTTAGCTGTTGAAGGCTTCCTTTACTGATACGTATTGATTATGCCTACACTCTTGGGTCTTCCCTCTATTTTCCTCCTCTTCATTTCCAATCTTTCAGTGTGGGTACTACTAGGCCCTTATTAATCAGTAAAGCAAATCATTGCTACTGCCAAGAAATGCATACATCTTCTTATCTTAGGTTATTTTTCTCTCCCTACAAAAAACATGACCGAGTATGTCTACTGCCTGTGGCTCTACAAATTGATTTTCTTCTCATTGTTCTTTGAGGTCATTTCTGAGCAGGCCTGTAGTAACAGTATCAGACCAATTCTGTCTTTGCCAACATGTTGAGCTAACCTGCTTCTGGAGGAAGACTTTTATTTTCTTTTTGGTTCATTGTTAGGCAGCTTTAGAGAATGGCTAAGAAGGCTCTGCTTGTGGGTGGGACACCCATCAACACAAAAAATGTTGGCAATATGGAGATCTGAGGCTTCTGTTCTTGTAATTTTGAGGGCCATCTGGAAATGCTCAGGACAAATTCTGAACGTAAAACTCACATTGTATGATGGATTGTGACTGCACCTGTCCAACTTTGTAACTTGGTGAGTCTGACAATACTCAACTCATTAGATAGTTCCAGTGGTTAGCACTGTCTGCTAGGGCTGGGTAGTGTGCCAGAAGTTGCTTTTCAAACACCAGACAGTAACTTGCTTCAGAACTCTTGTGTTCTATGCAGTGACTCATTTACTGGGGATGACCAGAGGCTTTATATTAGTACATTATCCACCACAGATCCCTCTAGCCCCATTGGATCTGCCAGGTCATATAGTCTGGACCTGTGACAAAGTTCTCTCTCATTCTATGCACTTAAAACTGGCAGCCTCTGAGTCACTTCATAAATGATCAGAGCACTTTGTGCAAAAATGGTTTATGCTACCACCAAAATACAGAGAAAACTACTAAGCCTGTGGCCTTGTTTCTCTTGGTGATAAAGAATGTATGGTTCAATAACTAACCCTTCTCCTTAGATAGAATACCACAGCATGCTCCAGATTAATGAAATCTTGTGAACAGTAAGAAAGTGGCAGGTGCCTGAATTTTAATTTTGTAGAGTATGTAGTGCCCTCTGGCATGTTATGTACCTTTTCGGGGATCAAGAATACTTGCCACTTTCTGCTCACCAGAGCAATCGTTAATATATGATTAACATGGTGGCCAAGCATGGTAGTTTTCAGAATGACAAGATGACCTAAGTCTTTATAGAATATGTTGTGACAAAGAACAGGAGAACTGACACAGCCTAGAGGAAAGACAGTACATGTGAACTGCTACTGTTCCCATGTAAAAACATATGGCTTTGGTCCCCTTTGCCCATGAATTTTAACAATAATTTACTGTATCAATTATAGTAACCATATCAATAATTGTATACCACAAATCCGTGATGATCTATTACATTAGCAGACATGCAGTGTGGAGGCTTCTCAGGGTACCTGACCACATAGCATCCAGACACAGCATCAGCTATAGTTATGAGTACGTTCACCAATATTCTAGATCTCCTCTCCATCTAGGCACAGAAAAGGATTCCATTTCCCTGCCCTTTTCGAAATGAGGCTAAGTGTATTTGACATGCTTTCACCAGTAAAATGGCAAAGTCACATGCATCACTTCTTGGTGGTAACTGTTAGCCAGCGTGTTAGCATCTACATTTGCATCCCATTGCCATGATGATTATCAAAGTGTTGATGTGTGTCTATTCCTGCCCCCAAATAACCTGTGTTGGTCATGCCCATGTGAGCAAGAAGTAAAACTTTAGTTGTGTTAAACTACCAAGATTTTGGGGTCATGTACAACTTTAATATACACAGAGGCTGGCAAAATATGGCCCACTGCCTGTTTCAATCATACTATGTTGTTGAACCCTGGTATAACCTATGCTATCATGATAAAAAAAATGAACAAAAATACCTTAAATCTGAAATGCAGCCCCATACTGAGCATAAGTAGGAATAATTATTTTCCTAAGCCACTCAATTTTGGCATGACTTATTATGCAGCATTATTGTGGCAGTACCTAATGGATACACTATTAATTGTATAGTTTTCTTTTATTTATTTATTTTTATTTTTGGAGACGGAGTCATGCTCTGTCGCCCAGGCTGGAGTGCAGTGGCACAATCTCGGCTCACTGCAAGCTCCGCCTCCTGGGTTCACGCCATTCTCCTGCCTCAGAGCTGGGACTACAGGCACCTGCCACCACGTCCAACTAATTATTTGTATTTTTAGTAGAGGCGGGGTTTCACCGTGTTTGCCAGGATGGTCTCGATCTCCTGACCTTGTGATCCGCCCGCCTCGGCCTCCCAAAGTGCTGGGATTACAGGCATAAGCCACCGCGCCCGGCCAATTCTATAGAGTTTTAACACATACAAACTTCAGGGAAGGTATTTGAAGTCACAGTGGCAATCACCCCTTGTGAGTGGTGACTGGAGGAAACCCCAAGAGGGTGGCTGAGTTGCTGTGATGTTCTGGTTCTTGATTTATGTGGTAGATACACAGGAATATTCAGTTTCTGAAAGTTCATCAGGTTTAAACAACTTGATGAACTTCTGATTTTAGTTTTCCTTATGCCAGGACGTTTTCCATATTTTCTTTGTGTGTCAAGAAGACAGAGGAATAAACAATACCTATGTGTCTTTATATTGAATGTTTTATGAGGCATACCGTTAAGAGCGAGAGGCAATCACAGAATAGCCAGTATGAAGAGTGTGCCACCATTCATATGAAATTCAAAAGGTGGATATGAATACATACATTCTGGTATATAAAAAATACCTCTAGAATGATAAATTTAATTGCCTCTAGAGAGGATAACTGAAAAGTCAGAGTAGAAATTAAATAAACTTTTAATTGAGAACCCCCCCCTTTTAAAGACTGAATTTTTTACCATGTGTATATAACTGAAATTTTAAACACCAAAATTAGATTTATAATGTATATACTATACTATTAACTCTAACTTCCATTACATCTGTTTCTGATTGCTACTATTACTTAGATAACAGTGTGATAACATCCTTAATTTTGTTTCACTATTTAACATAGATTTCTGAAAATATGATTGGATCCAGAAATGGATGAGAGATTGCCTTGAAGATTAAGTGATTTAATCACAGGTATTTACATTTTATCTCTTACTATATCTTTTTGTTATAGGTGAAATTATGTTTCATATTCTTGGACAAAATTTACAAATTTTTAGGATGAAAACTTGTAAAACTAGAGTTCTTTGGATGATTTATGAAAATTTGATTTGTATTATTACATACATATTTTAATTCATATGTGGTCCAGGCTCAAAACACTGGGCTGAAACAATCTTCCTGCCTCAGTCTCCCAAGGTTGTTTGAATAACAGGCATGTACCTCAGTACCCAGCTAAAATTCTTTATTGATTTTTCACCTTGCTATTTAAAGAGTATTATTCTAAAAATTTATTTATTTTATATATTTAAGGTATACAATATATTTTGATATATTCATAGTGAAATTACGGAAGTCAAATAACCCAATCCATCACCTTCTGTAGTTACCTTTTGTGATAAGAGAACCTACAATCATAGCAAATTTTCAATATACAATATTATCAACTATAGTCTTCATGTTTTGGGTTGAATCTCTAGATTTATTCATTCTCACAACTGCAGATTTGTACCCTTTGACCTACATCTCATTTCCTTCCCCTCCTTCCCAGTATCCACAATTCTACTGTTTCTATTTATTCAACTTGCTTTAGATTCTGCATACAAATGAGATCACGCAGTACTTTTTCCCCCTATGTCTGGCTTACTTCACTTAGCATAATGTCCTCCAAGTTCATCTGCATTGTGGCAAATGGCAGCATCTCCTCTTTTAAGGCTGAATACTATTTCATTGCATTTTTCTATGTGCAATCCTAAAGGGTGATTTTTAGGATGGAGCATATGTTTTATTATCCAGCCACTTCTTAGCCTGTATTAAGAATCACAGCACATAATCACACATACACAGAGCTCTACAAATTTTTGGCGTACAGTGATTTCATCTACCTTGAACTCTATGGTTAAGGGGCTCATTTTTCTCATAGGTCATTTGGCTTCCACAGTGGGCAGTGTGAATTAATCATTCCTTTTGTCTAAATATCTTCTTTGTTCCTTTATTTGTATAGAGAAGGAAGACTTGTGTCTTTTGTCATTTCCATTTCTAAGAGTTTCCTCTCCGTTCTGCCCACTGGTCTCCTATTTTCACAATTTCTCCGGGCAGAGAAAGACACTCCAGTCATTTTAGTAATCAATAGCAGATCACAAGTCTTCGTGCTTTTCCCAGTATTTTTCCAGGGGAGGAAGTTCTGCCATGTATGTGGTTACATCCTAAGAGGTGTCATGCAATGACACAATCAAAATATATTTATAGCTATATCTATAAAACATCTAGACATAAAATATCTATATGCATACAATCAAAATATCTAGCATATGATTCACTGATTTTACTTCAAATATAAAAATTCTCCAGGTATGAATGTATTAGCATCATGGTCATTTTTGTTTAATCTTGATTAAAAATGATTGAAAAAGCCATTTGGATGAAGACACAACTCTTAGTTTTCCTTGTGTCATGTTAGTAACTTGATATATCTTACTTCAAGTTTAAGAACTTGAATTAACCATTAAATAAAGTAACTATTGGTTATTTTTTCCCTAAAACTATGAGCCTTTAATGGAAAAGATGACATTATCAATTCTCAAACATACTCTTATTTGAAGAACAATCTACTGAATGATATTACATTGCAAGTACCTAGAATCTCTTAATTCTAAGAAACTAAGTCAAGGACAAGAATTCTGTTGTGATTATCAATTCTACCTTTGGAGAATTATCTTGTGCAAATCACTTCATATCTCAGTGTGTATTAGAAGGAATGGGCAGAAGTTCCTCCAACATTTGTGTTACCTTTGATTTTTTTCATGGTTAGAATATGGTTAATAAAGTCATGTTGTTGTGCTATTGAAAGGGATATTTGGTGGTAAGTACTTCCCTATAATAGTTTTGATGATTATGAGATGTTAACATTGCTATATGAATCTTATATCCTTAGAACAAGTTCCCTGTGTACCTAAGTCAATTGATGATACAGTTTAAGACAAAAAGAAAAGAGATCACTAAAAAGAAGTTTGGACTTGTGATGAATCCAAATTGGATCTAGTGTTTCTTAGTGACAAAACTCTAAGGAGTCTCAGAATGTAAGTCATTTGTTCTGAGTGACATTAAAAAGTAAAGCCAATCTTATGTAAATTGAAGGAGTGGAGCATGATTATTGGATGCTTATTAGGGCATCCTCTCCTGATATGATATTCTGTGTACCTTTTACTATATGAATACCCCTTGAGGCTGTCTTCCACTTGTTGCGCTGTTTCAGTATCTTGGTAATCTTTGAGATTTTCTTGTTAGCATGAACAAATTAGGATGCATTGGCCCTAAAGACAATGGTTAGAGAAGTATGTCAGAAATAGCAGCTTATGCAATTGGCAGCAGTTCTTTGGAAATCTCTCTCATACTATTCTTTGAGTCAAGTCATGGAATCAAATTATAAGTCACAATTTTAGTATACAACTTTGTCTTCTGAAATGCAAAGAGACAGCGCAAAGAGACTGAAGTTCTGAAGCAATGCTGGAGGAACTATAATAGAAAGATGCTCAGGCTGGTAATTTCTATGTATTATGCATTTCTAACAGATCTTCTTCACTTAAACATATTCCTTTGGGAGCATGGTCTATTATCATGGATGTTCAGACACCCCCAACATGGAGTCTACATGGATACAAGGAAATAGTCTATTAATTAGGCTCATTCGTTGCTTTAACGAATTAACTCCCAAACTTTCAGGACTTCAACCTTACTGAGTTCTATTTTTTCCTCAAGTAAGCTGGATGTTCCTGAACTTTGGAAATCTTTCCTCCTGTGGTGTAGGGACCTGTGTTCCTTCCCACTTGTGGCTCTCTCATTCATCAACAAGATCTGAGAATCCTCTGCTTCCAGGCAACAGACAGTGGGGAAAGAACATGGAGAATGCACTGTCTCTTAAGCGCCCTGGGTTGCAAGCACCACATGTATCACTTCTATTGTCATTCTGGACCTAGCGCAAGGACTACTGGGGAACACAGACTCTGGCTAGGCAGTTGCTTTCTAGGGCAACTCTATACTATTCAAGAAGAAAGCACGATTCCCACAGTTATCCCTGCCCCATCTCATGTATCAGTTAGCATTAAGAGATACGTGTTAGATCTGTCCTTTAACACCAAGTTTGCTGTTTCTTATTAAGTGGCTACCCACACATGGATTTTTACCAAGATCATTAAACCATAAATTGAATTTTTGGCCGAGTCCTATCCCAGGATTGACAACCCACACTTCCCTGTTGATGACTCTTGAATGACTCCCATTACATTCATTACTAAAACAGAAAGGATGCCAGAAACAAGCTGTTATTAGACAAAGCGGTCCTGGTTACATTTATTTGGAGGTAGTATTCCCCAGTAGATTATTTTTCTTTAGATTATTAACTTGAAGTTCTTGTTTAATGAGGAATAGAACAGCACTCTTTTCCAGCATCAGGAGACCTGGTACTAAATGCTTACCTCTTTTGACCTCAGTTTTCTCACCTGCAAAATGAATTTAGATGGACCAATCTCCAAAAGCTCTTCATGCTCAAAAGTCTCTACAGAGTCTAATGGAAACCTATTATGTTGCTTGTATAACTTAGGCCCTTTGAAGTTCTGTTTTCTTGTCTTGTGGTCATGCATATTGATGTGTTATCCACACCGACTATACTCATGTCTGAACGCTTTTGCCAGTGTGATCTGTCAACTTGTCACTGCTTCCTAGACCTCAGCAGCTCTGCTGTAATTTCTGATCATGCTTGAGTGTCTTCTGGAAGCACCCTTTCCCTCCATCACTTCAATATCTGGAATGTGGCCTATATGCTCAAATTCCTAATCAACTTTTTGAAGCATTAAGCCTTAGCTTATGATAACTGAGATATCTAACCTTTGAAAACATATTCCCCAGGTAGATACTACTCTCTTCTCTTTAAATCTAATTTAGTACCCATGAAACGTGATCCATTTGATGGAACCATCTGTTTTTTTTCTTCTGCCAAAGACACTCTGCACATTTTGGCAGCTTCTCTAAGTGTACTCAATAACCCATGCCAAATACAGTTGGAATGCACCATGAATTCCAACTCTGAAAACAACTGAACCAGGCAGTGTTCATCTTAAACTGACTGATGTGTGGTGAGTCAAGCAACACTGGCTTATATACCTTAAGGTGAGGTGGGGAAGGGAGACTAAGTTAACGTGATAACTTCTACCCTGTAAACTGGGGACAGTGATTTGGATTCATAGGATAGTGACAATTTGGGGATTTTTCTTCCCTGAAATCTACTCCGCAGTTTTGGGATTACAATCTCTATTCAGATAAATACCACTGTGATAATCCCTTTTATACACATGACCCTGTATATGTCTATACCCAGTTGATTGGTTCAGAAGTAACATGTAAGTATGAAGGAAGCTACATTTAGGACTCAGATTTCCAACATGGTATTTCTTAAGTCACTGTAGCTATACGAGCAACAGCTTGGGTGTTATAGGTCATGAGTCTTCCCACATAGACCAGAAAAAGAAAAACTGCATGTCTTCAATGAGAGAAGAGGCAGGGCGAGAGGGAGGATATGAGGAAGAAAAAAAAAGAGTAGAAACGTTCAGATGAAGACAGAGTTCTGTTATTATTTGTGCACTTGTGTCTGTTTTCCCCAAAGCCCAGTCATATTTTGTTTCTTAGATTCTAAGAGGTAGAGCATTTAAAAAATAAATTCTTTTTGCTTAAGCAAGTTATGCTATTTGCAAGCTAAATTTTGACTTATACATACAAGGGAAGAAAGTAAGATTTAATATCTTTCCGATCAATACAAGACTTGGCTTGTATTGGTTAATTTCATTACTTGATTAAAGAATCTAGACTAAAGTTTGAACCATTTGGAGGTGTGATCTCATTTTAGAATCATTTACTCCACAGATGGTAGCTTTTACAGTTTATCTGTCACAGTGTCCATGCTTTCTGTATGTCCAGATTCT